GTAATTATAGAAGAGAGTGTCGGATAGCGTTAACTCAAAGCACGTTAACACAGAAACCCATAGAAACCAAGTCATGGCCTGGAATTGATTTAACCACGTATTAGTTACGCCTCTGTACTTGCATTGTCTTGTTTTAAACATATCATTAATAATAATACAAACCTTTGACAGTTTAACGACTCTCTTCTTATGAATCAAATAACCCAAACCGAAGCCAACGAAGAATGATATTCCGTGAGGTGTCGGCCGAAAATATACAACATTTGTAAAGACATTCACATAGAATTCACTGTAAGAATAAAAATATGATAAATTATGTAAATATTTGAGATGATATGTGAAATGAATTGCTATTAAAAGTTAATGGGAATTACGTTCGGCCAGTGTTTGTATAAACGGCAGGAAAATCATTGATGAAAACCACAGCAGATGTGGAGACAAAGAATGCAATTATAGCGACAATAATTAGAAATATTCCCCATTTAATGGACCGAAACATAGCTATGACTACAATAAATGAAATCCAATGCAATTGCATGTCTGCCGCCAAATACCACGTATGAAGTAAACACTGAATCAAAATAATAGTAGCATTTATGAAAGAAGAAAAAACAAATGAATGGATAACAGACCATATTCTCGACATCTATTATATTCTGCAAATAAATAAAGTTTTGCCAATAATTGTTATAACAATTATTCATTACTGGGTCCACAAACTCGTGCCAAATAGGAAAAAACAAATGAATGGATAACAGACCATATTCTCGACATCTATTATATTCTGCAAATAAATAAAGTTTTGCCAATAATTGTTATAACAATTATTCATTACTGGGTCCACAAATTCGTGCCAAATAGGACCGGAGCCTATCTATTTAATAAATCAATATATGGATAATTATTTTATCTAATTAAATGTGTTAAATACCAGTGGTATGAGGAAAGTGATCAACATGAAAACAGCCAATTGTGGTGTAATTCGCAAATATCTTGATATAAAAAATGCAAATCCATTGAATCTCTCGGTCTCTCCATTCGTTAATTTGAATGTTATATAAGAGGTTAGAATTCCACTGAAATTGCAAATTATGTAAAAAATAACATATTTTGAAATCATTTATTTGGTCGCAAACCTAATCAAGAAGAATGTGTCCACACTATTGCCGGCGTTGAATATTGGCTGAAGTACTGGATTAGTTAAACTGTCCTTGATATTATATGTTCGACCTATATTACCATTTATAAGTTAATTCAATAAATGTTAATTAGTTTAAAAACTTACTAAATAGATTGAAGTCATTCCAGAGGACTGTGTGGCCATATATTATCCAAAGTAATGTCAAAACTCTGATTCCGTGAATACATGACAATTCTTGTGATGTGTTAACAGTAATTAATTTATTAAAATTTCTTTTTATAGAAAATATATTGACAACAGTCCAGAACCGAGACTTATCTTATAGTTTAAAAATAAATATAAATTTTACAACAATTAATAATTTATTATAAAATACTAGATTTGTATAATTAAAATATAATCAGAAATAATTGTACTATAAATTTGAAGAGTTTCGCAAACCATAGCCACTGAACAGCAAACCATAAAACATAATATTAAAAATCTATTGAATTAAAAAACAAAATATATGAAAATTTTAATTCGAGTTACAGATTGTCTCAAATAAATGTGACAAATGTCTTACAGCGCCGACATCTGAACCAAATTCAATTTGGTTGCCGTTGTCTTCACTTCGCACCGCACTTTCTTAACCTCGAGACCCATATTTGTGATCACTATTTGAAAAATATTTTATAAATACACAATTTAACACATAATCTCACGACACAAACCTCTTTCAGTTATTAATTTAATGTCATTTTCAGTGCATTTATTTGGTGTACAAATTCCGACCCGAAGTGACAGCCAATAGAAGAAAGACGCGTTTTTTGATAACTTATTCAATGCTTTATTTGAATTATTGTTTTTGAGACTATCGGGCAAAACGTCGACCAAATGAAACAGATTGTGATGTTTGGGCATTGGTTTTGGTAACGGCAGAGACGTGTCGATCAGACAATACTGTGCCGAACCTATAATCTTGTTATTTTCAATGGATAAGCACTGATCATATGCACCCAAATCGGTGAAAGTGCCCTCAAATATGCCTTAAAATAAATGCAAAATTATTTTTTATTAAATTATTTAGTATTTCATACCAGAAGCTGGAAATTTGCCCCAAGAGTTGATCATCTGTACGGACCAGTCGTCGAGTCTTTCTATCCCATCGATGGTAGAAATGATGGCATCTTTACATTCGGTCGATATATCAATAGATTTGGACAAATCGGTCCATTTGTGTCGATTAAGTCTCGCGTAATCTTTGGCCCAAACTTTTGAAAAGTTGTGAAACTTTTGCCAACCATTATATTGACGTTCACTCGGATTACTCTCTAATAAATTGAGACATAAAACTGAATCCGAAAGCGATATCACAAACAAAATTAAATAAATAAATGAGTATTTTTCCATAATTTTAGATAAATATTAATATAAAAAGTGTTTTCTTTTATTGAATAAAAATTGAATATCGATTCTCTTTCTCGAAATGAATCAAAATATTTTGATAAATCTCTGGAAACAGTGACAAAAATACAGCCTTGAGATGACATTCAAAAATTACTTTACAATTAAACAAAACAAAATTGAGAGAAAGTTATTTGTTTTCATAATTTCAATATTTAATTGCTGTAATAGTTTTTCCCATCGAATCGATTGTTTCGCATAACTTTTCGCAAAATGCAAAAACCGACTGTTTTTTGGCCCTAAAAATCTATGTTAAATGATTGCCATAGAGTTTCTTATTGAATAAGTGATTGATTTATTGTTAATCATATTTTATATAAAAAACAATAGGGTTTCTTAATTTGTATGAAATATTTTTATCGCTTATAAAACAAAAAAAAAACTTTTAAATAAAATATAACTCATATTTTAAAACTACTTAAAAGAAAGAAAAACTCTTACATAATATTTAAATGAAAATTTTTTCTTTAAGACAAATGTATTGTTTAAAAGACATTAATTCAATGAACAATAAATCTGTTTGATCGTAAATTTACGCCTATTTTTAATGCTTATATATTAGTAAATAACTGATTTTGGTAAGTATTTTTTGCAAGTGTATAATACATTTGTAAATTACTTTTATTTTTAAGAGGTTTGGGCTTAAAACAATAAAATAATGATAAACACTTCAGCTTTGTAATTATAGGTATTTTATAATAATTTAATGTAAAGTGAAATGTAATTGTGTCTAAAATATTGGGGTTTTATCCTCAATGACATTAAAATCTAATAGATTTTATTTAAATTGTTTAAAATATAAAAAATATTTTTAAAAAATTTAAAAAATTTTTGTTCATTATTTATGTGTTACAAGTTTTTAATACAAATATCCAATAGATTATCAAATTATAAAACATTTGAGAACATATGACTATTATTATAAATTATAAGGTATTTTATCAAATCAAATTTTATTTGAATAAAATGTACACAAGTATTTAAAAATAGTCTTATAACTTTATTTATTAAAAATATTTGTAAGCAAATAACGAACAAATTGTCACATATTTATTTATAATTGAAATCTTTATATAATCCTAATATTAATGATCGAAACACAAGTTATTATATAATTTTTTTCAGAGAATTTCAATTTCCTTTAATATTATTCTTGTCAGGAAATTGATAGCAAAGTAAGTATAAAAACATACATACAATCGACTAATTATTTAGTTCAAAATGAAGCTATCATTGCATTTTAGCCTATTTTTCGTTTGTTTTACAATTATTTTGCATAACAAAAGTAAATTTAAATCACCAAGTTGAATACCCAGATATTTCATTGAAAAATATATATTTTGTAAACTAGATGTGAACTCAACATTCCCAGAATTTGGAAGAATAGCTGGCAATGCATACAAACGATTAAAGACTGGTATATCGGACACAATCGGTGATATCGTTGGCCCCAAACCTAACGCCGACATTGAATACGTGCCAAACAACGGTCCGGTCGATGAGGTCTATAGCAAACACCGCGAGAGACACAGCGGACGACTGCAGCGGATCTGCGAGTTCTTCAGACGCGGACGACTCCATAGGCGGCCCTGCAATGAGAGGCACAGAGACAGAGACAGAGGTAGAGATAGAGACCGGTTTAGGGACGAAGAGAAGGAAAGGGAACGCGAAAAGGATAGACAACGCGAGAGGGAGAGGGAAAAGGATCGATATAAAGAGACCGATGATATTAAACCGGTTCCAGGTTTGTCATAGATTTGCTATGGTTTAACATTTCATTTTAAACAATATGTGTGTCAATCAATAATTCAATTCATTAATTGGTTTTGCAAACCAATCGTTAGAGAAATTTGTCAATAGAAACATTAAATAAAGATTGAGCTAAACCTATGTTCCAATCATGTTATTGGATGTATTCATATTGGATATCATTTTATAATAATGAAACATCATTTGAAATACAGAAAGAAATAATTTTAATCAACAGTTTTAAAAATTTTTATTGAATCGGTATTAAATACGATGACATATTATAAATTCCATCAATACTCCCGTTAATATAAAAATTACTGTAAGTTCTGTATTGTATAAATCAGGATAGAAAATATAGGGAAAGTGTATTAAAACTTTGCAATCTATTTAAAAAAACCAATGAAATATTAATTGAAAAATTGTTTGCAAAACACAGGACCAGAAGAAGTGAGTGGAAAGCCGTGTAAGACTAGCGATGGACTGTTGGGCACGTGTGAGAGTTCGACCTATTGTTTCAGTCAATACAACGATATGAAGGATTATGTGGTCAATCGGTGCCCGCTTTCTAACGGCGTTCACGGAGTTTGTTGTCCTAAGGAAGTGCGCAAACCATTGGAAACTCGGGGTGAGTTTGAGTTGCTTTTATCTGTATTTGTCAATAAGTTTGTTAACTTATAAAAACATGATAACATTACAATATTTGGCATAATATATAAATATTTAATGAAATGTATGGAAAAACACGATTAGTGCCGATCCGTATACCACTTCCTGTGCTGCCATCCGCTAAAATAAAACACATAAGTTTGGAGGACATCGATAGAGCGGCGGCAGACGCTCACAGATTTATCGAGAACTATATTAAAACGGAAAGAGAGCTCATCGATAAGGGTTTGACT